TTTGAGAACCACTGGTCTAAAGTTAACAGACAGTGTTTAAAAAGTGCAGTCCCCATGTTTACATGTGTTTATTACAGTGACTTTGAATTACCTAAAGTAGTGTGGTAAAGCAACAGATTTGTTTTTATATTTCTGCAATCTGCTTTACTTTGTGTGATTTGTTACTGACTTTCATATTGACAATAACTGTGGAACAGACACTATTTATACACTCATACACTTATTTATCTAACACACATACTTAGTCTACACCTCAAATTTGCACATAATATACCTGTACATACAAAACTGTCTATTGTAATATACCTGCACATACAATTGTCAATTTATATATTGTTATTCCTAATTTACTTGTTCTATTTTTTTTATTCTTCTTTTACTATCTGTGTTTTTGTTCTGTCGCTGTCATTCTGTTGCACTGCGGAAGCTTCTTTCATGAAAACAAATTCCCTCGTATGTGAAAACATACCTGGCAATAAATCTCATTCTGATTCTGATATTAATGTTTACACCAGGCTTATTTAAACATAATTATTACATGCTTACAAGGTTGGAAGTTCAACAAATCAGTCAATATACTGTGATTGTAGTTGTTAAATAAAAATGTCATTCATATCAATTCATGCATCACCTAATTTCATCGTAACATATAGGCCTGGCCTACAGAAAAGAACATTTATGTTTAATCTATCTAATATTGTGTTGGTCATACTATACAATGATTTATAGCTTGTCTTTGTTGAATAATACAGAACATAAAGAGCTTTAAAAAAAAAAAATTGCATATTAAATCGCAATCGCAATATTGGTAAAAAAAAAAAATCGCAATTAGATTATTTTCCAAAATCGTTCAGCCCTAGTCTAGAGCTAAACTCTGCTGAACTGGACAGCTCTGCTTCACTACAAACGCTGTGGAGTGTCAGCTCGTACCTGATGTCTTCATCCGTCACCATGAAGGCTTTGCACAGAGGCTGTGTGGTGTTGAGCCAGACTCCAGGGTTCTTCTCCACCGCGGCGGACAGCTGACCCGTGATGGGAGCCGAGCTGGTGTGCAGGGCGCTTGCTAGAGCCGAGAGCAGCGTGTTACCTGTGTAACCCGGACCCACACCTGCCCATTCAAACATCACACAGCTTACAACCCCAACACTGCAGTATTCAGTCTAACCATTTCATTTCATTCAGTGTGTATGAGAGCTGCTCCTCCATGCTCACCTTGCAATCCTTTAGGAAGATCCATGGTCTTCACCAGCTCCTCTGCGATATCATAGGTGTTGAGTCCACTCAGCTTTTTCTCCCAGAACAGCTGGGAAATAAACAGACCAAAAATTATTTCATGTTTGCATTACAGGAACTAATTGACTGGACTGATGTTTTATGGTTCTTTTTTATCTTTTTGGAGCTTGACAGCTGCAGTCACTATCAGTAAAGTTTGGGGTCAGTAAGATGCGCTTTTTTGCTTTAAGAAATATTTTTATTTAGCTAGGACACATTCAATTTATCAAAAGTGACAAAGTATGGAAGCCTGCTTCCACCACAGGATAAAAAAAAAAAAAAAAAAAGGTAATTGCAACTTTATATCTCACAATCTTTTTTTTTTTTTTTGCAATTCTGAGAAAAATTGCAAGATAAAAAGTCTCAATTACCTTTTTATTTTTTGTTTATCCTGTGGCAGAAACGGGCTTCCATAGTAAAGACATTTATAATGTTACAAAAGGTTTCTATTTGTTCTTTTGAACTTTCTATTCATCTGTGAATCCTGAAAAATATAATGTATCACGGTTTCCACAAAAATATTGTGCAGCACGACTGTTTTCAACATTGATAATAATCAGAAATGTTTCTCGAGCAGCAAATCAGCATATTAGAATGATTTCTGAAGATCATGTGACACTGAAGACTGGATTAATGATGCTGAAAATACAGCTGCGCATCACAGAAATAAATTACAGTTTAACAGATATTCACATAGAAAACAGCTGTTTTAAACTATAATAATATTTCAAAATGTTACTTTTTTTTTGAATCAAATAAATGCAGCCTTGGTGAGCAGAAGAGACTCTTTCAAAAACCATTATAAAAATCTTACCGACCCCCAAGTTTTTGAATATATATTTCCTTTGTAAACAGCTGCAGCAGATGTGATGTTCACCTGTCTGGGCTGCTCGACAGCTTTCTGAGGGTCTGTTTTAACCTTGTTGCTGGGGTGATTTGTGACCTTGGTGACGGGCTGTTTAAAGATGGACGCCGTCTGTCGGACCGGCAGTGACGTGTTCAGATCAGGTTTACCCTGAAAACAGGCATCCGGACAAAAACATTACCAGTGTTGGGCAAGTTACTCTGAAAATGTAATCAAATTACTGATTACTCCTTTTAAAAGTAATCACGTTACTGTTCTGATTACTTTATTTCAAAAGTAATTAGTAACGTTACTTTTTTCTCCATTAAATTTATGAAATCCCAGCATACACGCATTCAAGATAAATATCTGTTATTAAAGCATCAACATTCACAGAACACTGTTATTTTTAACTAAAGCTGAATAATTCTAAATGAACTCTGTTATTTTGACAGGAAAATACAACAAAGATTATGGTTTACATGTAGCGCGTCGATTCAGCATGGTATGCAAGACTCTCGCTCTCTCTCTTTGTATGTGTGAGAAACACAGCGCTATCAGTAAAGCGACGGTGAGTCGTGCGCCTTCACACTATACATTATTTAGTCGCCCAGAGTAAGATTTAGTCGCATATGCGAGTGATTTACTCGCAATGTAGAGGGTTGCTAATCCACTGGCACTTGACTTGACTGATGTGCTACATCCCTAGATTATAAAACACTGCATTCTGTCAGCAATGTAACGCGGCAGTAACGTATAGAGACTTTGCTAGATTATAAAACACTGCATTCTGTCAGCAATGTAATGTGGCAGTAACGTATAGAGACTTTGGCTTGTAACTATACTCTAATTACTATTTTGAAAATTATAACGCGTTAAATTTCTCCGTTACTAAAAAGTAATCAAATTACAGTAACGCGTTACTAAGTAATGCATTACCGCCAACACTGAACATTACCAACAGCACAATGCAGAAAGCAAAAACTGCAGAGCGCTTCATTCAGTCAGACACGTTTACCTTGCTCTGACTGTGATCGTGGTGAATCCGCTGCCTGTTCTTATTCAGTTTGCTCATAAGCAGCTTTCCTGTGCGGAAATCAAAGGAGCTGAGATCCATGGAGTTTCCCAGATATCGGGCCAGCTGTGGTTTACTCCGAAACTTCTTCCCTGTTGGACTAAGAAGGAAAGGAAAGATCAAGAAATATTCCTTATTGTCCAGAATGACAACTGCACTTCCACTGCATAACCAGTCAGCTACAACCCAACAAATCCATGTCTTACAATTAATTCTAGTGTTAAACAAGAAAGATAGACATGCATTAACATTTTGCATGTTACAAATATAATAAAAACATAATTATACTAATAAATATATAAATATATATATACACACACACGCTGCTGTTCAAAAGTTTGGGATCAGTAAGATTTGTATTTGATTAAAAAATACAGAAAAACAGTAATATTGTGAAATATTTTTGCAATTTAAAATAATGGTTTTCTATTTTAATATACTTTAAAATGTAATTTATTTCTGTGATGCGCAGCTGTATTTTCAGCATCATTACTCTAGTCTTCAGTGTCACATGACCTTCAGAAATCATTCTAATATTCTGATTTATTATCAATGTTGGAAAAAGTTTTGCTGCTTAATATTTTTTTTGGAACCTGTGATGCTTTCTTCAGGATTCTTTAATGAATAAAGTTAAAAAGAGCATTTATTTAAAATAGAAATCTTTTCTAATACAAGTCTTTATTAGCATTTTTTATCAATTTAACACATTCTTACTGAATAAAAGCATTAATTTCTTTAAAAAAAAAAAAAAAATTAATAAGAAAAAAATTACTAACCCCAAACTTTTGAACGATAGTGTATATTGTTACAAAAGATTTCTATTTAACTTTTGTTGTTACATTTTTTTACTTTTTATTCATCAAAGAATCCTAAAACAAGCATCACAGGTTCCAAAAATAATAATAATATGAAGCAGCAAAACTGTTTCCAGCACTGATAATAAATCAGCATATTAGAATGAAGATCATGTGACACTTTCTGAAGACTGGAGTAATGATGCTGAAAATACAGCTGTGCATCACAGAAATAAATTATTATTTTAAAGTATATTAAAATAGAAAACCATTATTTTAAATTGCAAAAATATTTCACAATAATAGTTTTTTTTCTCTATTTTTGGTCAAATAAATATAGCCTTGATGAGCAGAAGAGACTTCTTTAAAACACATTACAAATCTTACTGATCCCAAACTTTTGACCAGCAGTGTGTATGTATGCATATATATATATATATATATATATATATATATATATACACATACATACATACATACATACATATATATATATATATATATACACACTAGAAAGACCC